TGTGCCCTGCCCTGAACCAGGGCCCGGGCTCCTTGGTTGATTGGTTGCTCAGCCCCTGCATCCAAGGGCCTGAGCTGTGACTGTTTGTGCCCCGCCCTGATCCTGGGCCTGCTTAAACTGTGGACTATTGCTCAGCCCCTGCACCAAAGGGCCTGAGCTAGCTGAGTGTTTGCTAAGCCCTGCCTGAGGGCCTGAGCTCCCTGAACTGTGGACCACTCAGCCCCTGCGGAAAGGGGCCTGAGCTTTGACTGTCTGTGTTACAGTGAGCCGGTGTGGCGCCCCTCCGTCCCAGAGGGTAGAGCCCTGGCTCGACCCTACCACAGGGTGAATACCTCCCTCTTACATTTAAGACACTTTTTTTGAAACTAATCCAAACACATGTTCAGCATTTTCAGTGTCTTGGGGCCTGCAGTGGAAAAAGGAATTTTGGCAATAAGATGTCACCTGAATTGAGTTAGTAAACAGAATACCAACCTGCTTATGTACTTTGATTTTATCCATAAGCACCTCCCAGGAGCCTTTTGACATTAAAACCATATTCAAAAAATACATTCACAGATCCTTTAGCCTGCTCCCATTATGTAGCCAAGATGAAATAACTGGAGTGCTAAAGATCAAAGATTCACTCCCCACAGTTCTAAACCTCATCTTTCTCTACCTAATGGCCTGAAAAAATAGATGGGATTTGTGATCTGTCTTAAGTGTTAACCAATTCAGATTGTTTGGCAGAGGAGCGTATTCCAGAAGTGCATGCCTCTCCAAAGGAATGCCCTTCCAGCAGCCCCCTTCCCTATCCAGCGTGGACTGCAACTCAAGTGCTTCTGGCAGTTTTCAGATGACTAGTATAGGTGATAGCAGCAAAGTTGGCCTTTAGATGATACAATTGCAAGGGCCTGGCCAGACAGATTGTAGCAAAAGCAATTTTGATCTGTTCATATTTTACTTCACACAGATGTATAGATTATGCAAGGTGCAAAGCAGTGGAGAATCAAGATTTCTGAATTTAACTTCCTGTTTATTTCATTCCTAGGAAGCTGGGAGTGACCTAGGTTTCTCCTTTGTAATTTCCCTGAATTATTACCTTGCTTTTTTCCCTTGTTGAACCTTTTCTGCCCTGGGTTCTAATATATATTATTCTGGATAGCCATCTGTCTTGGATGATTTAGACACAACAAATCCTGCATCTTTAACAGGGGGTTAGACTAAATGACCCTTGCGGTCCCTTCTAACCCTATGTCTCTCTAATTCTATGTTTAGTTATTGTTCCCCCCCACCCCTATTTTTTAATTATTTCAACTGGGATGGAAGTTATTTTATGGTGGAGTGACCCTCCCACTTACCTTCCTTCTAAAAATCTGAAACTGATTTTTAAAAAATTTCAGTACCACCCTTGTTCGTTGTCTTAAACAATTGCTACAGTAAATTTGATAGCTACTGCTCTAGGATGTCACCTGGATTAGCTGGGTTTTTTTCCTAACAATTCCTTTACTATACTACAAGTAAATGTCCCAGTCTAAGTTGCTGTGCTCCAGTCCCAAGATGTTTAAAAGCTACTGATAAAATTAGATAGGAAATTCCAGATTATAATCCATTCCTTATGGATTGTTCACTGTCCTTTTTTTTTCTGGAAGACATTCACAAGAGTTTAACATCAGCTATTTTAAGTCATTCATTTCATCCTCTGATTTATTAAAAGCTATACATTCTTAGTACTTTTCCTTAAACCCCAACCCTGACTATCGTTAACTCATTTTGCAGTCTCTCTCTTCTGAAAACTAAAGATACGATTGTAACTATTACCTCCTGTTCATGTTTCTCAGAGGATTTTCTTTCAGCATCAGGTGTTGTAGTTTCACAGAGAAGCACTCAACTTCCATTTTATTTTTTCAGAAAAACTTAACACTTCCTCCAATTTATTAATATGCTGAATTCAAGTAGCTCATGGTCACAACCTCCAATCTTCCATCTTTTCCTAATCAGATCCTTTGTATTCATTATGATTATCAAAAAATAAATAAAGAACAGATTATCTGGAGTCCCTACTTCTGGATCAGAAAACTGTCTTCCGTGTAACCTCTTTCATGCCTGTTGAGTTGTATTTGTCACCATTTGTTAAGGATTACAGATGCTCCCCAATTTACGCAATCATTCCTTTCTGGAAAGCCTTGCATTTACCTTAATCCTATTGTTATCCTGGCACACTGAAGGCTGCATTTTGGTGGTGGATGACAATGGGCTTAATTTGTAGATGAGGAATGAAATGATAGGGTGAAATAACAGAAATACAGTATCACTGAACTAACACGAGACAGAGGCTGTGAAGCGCAAAGCCTTCCCTTGTAGGAGATGTTACTGCTGTATTCCTCCGCACACTGTACTACAGTACTTTGCGTTCCCGTACGCTACGCAATATTTTCCGCAACTTGGAAATTTTATTTATGCCTTATGGAACTTTTTGCATAAGGTCGAATTTACGTAAGTCGGGTCTTGCGTAACCCAGGGAGCGTCTGTATTAAAATCCTCCTTGAGCAGAGCACCATATTCAGTGACATAGTTTCTGAGGTTTTGGCTCAGTAACTTGTTTCTTACTCTCCTCCCTCTAAGAAGTTAAGATCTATTTAAGGCCATGAAAAAAAAAATTAAGGCAGTATTAGCACTGGGTCACAAAAATAGGACAACTACCACATAGCTACTGAACTCTGAGTACAGTTGGAAGAAAAACTTTTTTCTTTCCTACATCTTTTAAAAAATATACTAAATGTAAAATATCTGCTTACAACAAATGAACATATATGATCAGCAAATTTTGACTTCAGCATAAAATTGAACTTGAAGGATTGCAGAGAATGAAAAATACACTGATGGAAGTTTGTGACTTAAAGCTTCTCTAGACAGAGCAGCAATGTTCTCTATGGCGGGGGGGAGAGGGGGTGATTGCTGAAGTGCAATAATATAGCATATTAATTTGGTCAATGTAGACCATGCTGGTGCTCACTAAATGTACTGACAGCACTATATTAAAGCACACTACAGATTCTTTGTGTAGCCAATGCTGGTGCGCACTAGACCAATCAATATGCAGCTTGTTAGAAATCTCAGTCCCATAGGGCATGTAGACAAGCCCTCAATAGTAGGATTGATGCCAACAGCACTAAGGATATAAAAGGTTAAACGGTTAACCAGTAAGCATTAGGCTTACCATTAACCACTCTTAACTGTTAATGCTGGCTGCCCCATGCTGGCCAGAGGGGCCCTAGTGCCAGGCCGGCAGGAGGGGGCCCAGCCCCCGCCAAGCTAGGCCAGCTGGAGCATCAGTTAACGGTTAACCAATATAATTTTAATTGTTTAACCATTAACTTTTTAGACTATTTACATCCCTAAACAGCACTGCTTTGCTGAAATCTGGTAAACACTAGGGAACTCTTCTTTAAAAAAAAAAAATTCAGTTAGCAATATAGAGACCCTTCATGTAGACAAGCTTACAGGGGCTGCAGCCTTCAGCTGCAGGAGCCTTGTTTAGAATATGGCTACTGAAGTTGCCAATACTGGTGTAGAAAATCTCCTTGATATGCCTATTTTTAAAGTTTTTTGAATAGGTAGGACTAGAAGTCCAAAGCAGTCTCCTTCATAGTTTTCTGACTGTTTCACTTACTCTTGCCTGTTTTTCGGCATTAGCAGGAGTACTTGAGAGACCCCGCACCTTCACTCTTAATTTGCTAGGCTATGGGTGAAAGTCTGCAGGAGCAGCTCAGCACTACTCCACTTCTGGTGCACATCTGCTCAAGACTGGAATCACTTGGCTAGCAGTGTCCACTGAGGTCATGCATGCACCCTATCATCATGCTACTGCACCAAGGGTGGGCAAACTACGGCCCTTGGATCATTGGAAGCCGCACCATGCAGCTCAGCCCAGTTCCGGCATTCCTGCCAGGGTGCTGGGTGGGGAGGCCGCACCACGCCGCTCGGCCCTGCTCCGGTGCGCCACTTAAAATGTGGGCTGGCTTAAAACGCTCCAGGTGGGGGGCTGCCCCACACGGCTCGGCCCCCTTCCGGTGCTCCAGCCGAGGCACCGGGTGCGGGGGCCGCACCACACGACTCGGCCCTGCTTTGGCGCTGCACCATGTGGCTCGGCCCCTCCCTGTGCTTTGAGAGGTGGAATCAATTCTAAGTCTTGGAGCAGTGGAAGAGGTTCCTTTACAGTACAGAGGGAAGGGGGTTTATTCCAATTATTTTCTAATTCAGAAGAAAAAATGGGTATGATGGTGCCTGATTATGGACTTGAAGGAAGGTCAGTGCCTTCTATCATGGTCCTTGGATAGACTACCTTGCTAAGACCCCTTTACCAGTTCCATCAAGGGACAAGCTCTTGCCTCCACTTCTCTTTGAAATGCAGCCCCACGGTCGAACCAGTCCCTGGCTGGGTCCTTGGACTGCATCCCTCTGGTAGCCAGCCATCATATCTAGCAGGTACCCAATGGACTTGTCACCTGCAAGAGTTCTCCTTTGGGAATCTGTGGACAGTGAGAATATGCAGCAACACAGAAGCCAAAATGGGATGGTGGTGACTTGGCCAGACTTTTCTTCCACACACCAAGGAGAGCCTTGAACAGTGTTGACAGCCCTTTATGCTGACACTATTGGCACAGGTGAAGATCAAACTATAATTGTATCCTTCTCTTGCAAAGGAGGAAAGAAGAAATCAAGGCAGACTAAGCACTGCAACTTAATCTGTCCATAAAAACTCATTGTACCAGACTCCCTTGCTCTCTGCCAAAGCCAGGCTATTCAGACAGTAGAATTCAGATTTACCTTTAATAAAAGCAGTTTTTTATTGTGCATGTGCCACACAGTGTGCATAGGCTGCTATTTGTATGGAATGGCTCAGAGCTTGAAGAACTATATTTGGAGCTCTTTCTTTAAGGTCCACAGTCTGTTTAGAGTAGGAAACAAAGAAATAGTGACAATAGATTTTGTTTTAGAATCTTAAGATGGAAAAAACTGCCTCCTTAATACCACTTCATGTAACTTAAAATAATTGTCACAAAGAAGGTGTGGGATTGAAGGGAGGATCTAATTGTTTCACAATATTGCATTCTATGTATGTAGATATTTATACAGTGTTTACTGCTAAGGTATCTGAGTACCTTACACAAACAAAAAATTGTGAGCATCCCTGCAACAAAAATTACAGCTTCCTCTGCAGCTTGTACAAAGGAAAATTGGAGAAATAATCAATTCAGTTAACAATGAAGCTTCCTGCTGCTAAGCAAGACATGACTTCACTATAACAGTTCAAAATGTCCTTGCACAATGGCTTGTAGTTCATCAATAGGGCCTCTTAAAACAAACAAACAAAATTTAATAATAAAAAACCCTCTTGGGTCAAAACATAAAACCTAGATTTTATGCTCATCTTCTATTAAACATCTCAAATGCTGAGCCATTCGGCTAGCGTGCATAGATAATTATATTTAAGCCAAAATAATTTTCTTTGATTTGAACATATGAACCAGTTTCCAAGTGACTACTCTTCACTGCTTTACTGTGATGCTGACATTGCTTTTATAGTGCTGAATGTTGAGAACAAGTTCATCTCCAAGCTGAACTTGGATCGGTTTGTCAAGAACAACTGCAGCTTGTTTCCAGTGGGAGGAATCACTTGACGTATCCAAATAAATATCTTCATCTAGATGTATATGATACCAAAATGGAATGGCAGTGACGTGGCCAGACTTAGAAACTTGCACCTAAAAATGAAAAGGGGATGTTTAAGGAAGTAGAACTCTAATTTTTCACTGATTTTATTTGTATTATGGCAGTGTCTAGATTACCAAGAAAATCAAATACAGTGGTTCAAACTGTTCAAATCTACTTCAAAGTGGCCTGCATTGAAATAGCTTTTGTACTGAATTTTTCAACTATAGTAATGAGGAATTGAAGAAGAAGAAAAAAAAAGTGTGCGCTCAACTTACCTTTACTTCTCTATTGGAGCTGTTCAAATAGGGATTCATGAGATCTAGTCTTAGCAGTTCTGCTGGCTTGCTTAAGGGCACACATGGTAATGTGGCGAGATCCAAAAACACACGAACAGGCACCTGAGGAGGAATGTACCAGGCTTTCAGGCTTAACTATTATACAACAGCAACTTTCAATTTATGAATTATTGCACTGTTTCTTAAAGGAACTGAACTGCTAAAATAACTATCACTTCTAATCCTTTTTTAAATCTGGTCCTTGTGACACAAGTTGCATAAGGAAACAGTCTCCTACCAAAGCTGTTTTTCTGAACACTGAAGTGTTGGAAGTCATAACTTTTACTGCTCTCCATATCAGATCACAAATCACTTCTGCCCTACCTGAAGCATGTGTCTTGACTGCTATTATAGTAAATTTACATCAGTATCTATGCACAGAATTTAGGTTATAAAATATACTGAAGAAATTAATCCAACATCATTAATACTTCCAGCACTGCTTTTTCTTAAATTCCTTATATTGTGATTGTGGCCCTCAGTTGGGCATTTATGGGTTTTGAGAGCTATGCTTGATATTGAAGCATGTCGTTAACTTCCTACCTTGAACTGGTTGATAAAAGGTGCTATATTAAACCCAAGTGTGGGTTCAGTCCCTTGAACTGCACTTTCAAGTACTAAGGATTGCGATTCTACAAGCATCCCATACATCACCACATATTGTGGGAATATCTTTCCTCCAGAGTGAAGCAAACACCTATAAAGAGAGAGAGAAATGTTTATTGCCAAAATGTGTTCTCCTGCTAGTAAGAAACTAAACCAGGGGTGGGCAAATTTTTTGGCCTGAGGGCTACATCGGGGAATAGAAATTGTATGGCAGGCCATGAATGCTCGCAAAATTGGGGTTGGGGTGCGAGAGGGGGTGAGGGCTCTGGGGTGTAGGAGGGTGCTCTGGGCTGGGAGGGGTTTGGAGGATGGGAGGGGGATCAGGGCTGTGGCAGAGGGTTGGGGTGTGGGAAGAGGCTCAGGGGTTCAGGCGCCGAGCGCTTACCTCAAGTGGCTCCTGGAAGCAGTGGCATGTCCCTTCTCCAGCTCCTAGGCATGGAGCGACCCGCAAACCTCAGAGCGGGGCCATGCCGTGGCTTCCAGGAGCCGCGTGGTGCAGCCCCCAACCCGGCACCCCGGCTGGAGCACTGAAGCGGGGCTGAGCCATGTGGTGCAGCCCCCAACCCAGCACGAGCGGGGCCGCGCCATGTGGTGCGGCTCCCGACTGGGCGTCCCAGCAGGAGCTCGCGGGCTGGCTTAAAATGGCCAATGGGCCAGATCCAGCCCACAGGCTGTAGTTTGCCCACCCCTGAACTAAACTGACTGCATTAAGGTCTTGATTCAGGATGGGCACTTAAGTTCCACTGAAGTCAGAAGTGTTTAAGTGCTTCCCCGAATAGGGGCCTAACAGCTATTCAGATCACTCCCAATCTAAAATATCTTGTCAAATTCTGCACTGTATTATACCAGGATTCATTTTCTTTGAAGGCTGGTTGACATTAGTTTGTCTTTGACTTGGGGAACTCAAAATATTAAATACCCCATGAAGAACAGTGACAGGTCAGGTGGAAGAGCACTGGAGACAGGCCATTCTATGATAGTGCAAGCCCTACCCTTCCGGGCCAGTGCCCTGCCAGAAGCTGGGACTGGATGACCAGATCACTTGATAATTGATCTGTTCTATTCATTCTCTCTGAAGCATCTGGCATCAGCCACGGTTGGAAGTCAGGATACTAGGTTAGATGGATCACTGTTCTGATCTGGCGTGGCCATTCTTATGTAGAATGTAGTTATCTCATTAAGATGGTGTAATAGGCTGTTTAGGCTTTAAATACAAGGTCTGGTTTATTTACAACACTGACTCCTTAGACAATACTGAAGGATTGTGAAAAAATGGCAACCGAAGCTGTTAATAAAACTGGAAGCCAGAGGGTGCTGGGAAAGAGATCACTAGGGCACTGTTCAGGAGAGTGGGATCCCGCTTGAGAGTCAATCCCTTGTGCAGAATGAAAATGGCAGGAATTCAGTTAATCCATGATGTGCCCAGGGTAGTGCTAATTAGATAAAATCACCCAGATGTGGGATGCCAGCAGTGTTTTAAATATTTAACTAAATCATTCTCAATACACACAAGAACAAAGTTAACAGTATTCTTGTGCTAAACTCAGAGGCTTCTTCAGTTCCCTGACACAGACTGCTGAGCTGTCAAGAGCAGCAGCAAGTAGGTATTTAAGTCTGCATTGACTTTCTGTGTTCTCGTTGTTTTCTAGCAGAGGTCTCTTTACAAAGGCACTAACAGAGACAACAAATGGCAAAAATAGAGACAGACTTACTTCTTAGCCACATGTTCACAGTCTCTGACAACTGATGTGAATGTAGATATGACACAATCAGAACCAACTTCCCCAAAAGGGCTGACACAGCAAAATCACACCCCCTTGGCTATTATTATCCTGACCTCACTAAAAGTCTGGATGAATAGATGAAAATGTGACACACACACCCACACCACCCCAATAAAAACCCTCTAAAACTGAAGATTCATCCTTTCTTTAATATTCTTCCCAGTTTGTTTTTGCCCTTCTTGCTATTTTCTATTATTTTGTCTTGTATTTTCTTCATTTTTCTCTTGCTTTGTGTTACCTTTTTGTTTGTTAGCTATTCCTTTTTCTCTATCTCTGTTCTAGCTCACGTGTATCTGTCCCTGACAGATTTCAGTCTGTTCCACAGCAGCTTGAAATGTACAAGATTCTGAGCTTGTTCTATCACTCACATCTCTTAAAATTTCATGCTGCTTCAGCTTTTATCAGGACAATGGTTGTTTAGATTTCTGGTATGCTAAGCATAAGATTTTCCCTAGGGTGTTTTTTTTAAATCACATAAATTATTTAATTTTTATAGAAATTTATCACTAACTAGAATCATAGACTTTAAGGTCAGAATGGACCATTATGATAGTCTAGTCTGACCTCCTGCACAACGCAGGCCACAGAATCTCACCCACCCACTCCTGTATCAACCCCCTAACCTATCTCTGAGCTACTGAAGTCCTCAAATCGTGGTTTAAAGACTTCAAGGTGCAGAGAATCCTCCAGCAAGTGACCCTTGCCCCACGCTGCAGAGGAAGGTGAAAAACCCCCAGGGCCTCTGCCAATCTGTCCTGGAGGAAAATTCCTTCCCAACCCTAAATATGGCGATCAGCTAAACCCTGAGCACGTGAGCAAGACTCACCAGCCAGACACCCAGGAAGGAATTCTCTGTAGTAACTCAGATCCCACCCCATCTAACATCCCATCACAGGCCATTGGGCATATTTACCGCTAATAGTCAAAGATCAATTAATTGCCAAAATTAGGCTATCCCATCATACCATCCCCTTCATAAACTTATCAAGCTTAGATATGACTTTTGCCCCCACTTCTCCCCCTAGAAGGCTGTTCCAGAACTTCACTCCTCTCATGGTTAGAAACCTTCATCTAATTTCAAGTCTAAACTTCCTGATGGCCAGTTTATATCCATTTGTTCTTGTGTCCACATTGGTACTGAGCTTAAATAATTCCTCTCTCTCCTTTGGTCAGACAGGTTGAAGCTTGGAATTACTAGGGAGGTTCTCTCTCACCTTCATTAGATTTATAAATGTCATACAGTACCTGGATATTGCTGCCTTTTCCATCACCTCCTGCTGGATTAAACCTGAAGTCTCTATGACGTCCAGAATTATAATACTCCACAGTTTGTCTGATTTGGGTCTCTGTAACACCACACTCTCATCCTCTAAGTGGCTGAGCCAAAACTCCAATGTTTCTTTAGGGAAATGGTTGGCTTCTGAAATTATGTTAAGGGCTATTTGATGCTGCTCTTTTTCAACAGAACTGTAAGCTTTAACTGGCCCAAGTTTGCCAGCAATTATTGGCAGAATCGAAAAGCCCTCGGACACATCTAATACATACAAAGGGTCATGAGTTGTATATGAGGAATTCTTGTTTTGACTCTTTTCAAAGTTCATCTCTCTATCATGACCATCAACATCCATTGACAGAGATTCTCTCGTTGGGATCAAGGATGACAACACTTTGCCAATGGCAGCATTAAAGCATTCATGGTATGGCACATTGTTTAGAAGTGCAATTTCAGTGGATTCAAGCATGCATTCCTGCCCCATGCCATCCGATGTGCTAGTAGTCTGAAGACTAGCCAAAGCACTACATAGTTCAGCCTCATTGCCCGAAGCCAGTGTGTTCTCCCTTTCAATGTCCATCCCATACTCTGAAGTCAAAACAGAAATCTTCTGGATCCTCAAGTAGCAATCTTCGCAGCATACTTCCATCATCACAGTGTCTCCAGGTTTCACAGAATAATCTTATCAAAAAAGTACAAAAAGGTACATTAATAACGTTCAGAAATTATAAGGGAGTGTCCATACAAATGCCTGATCTGTGGTTTTAGGAAGCAAAACCCTACATTAGAGCCATTTTCCATTTACTATTAGGAAACTACTGACATAGCAGAAGGAGGAGAGAAGAGGGACAGTGATGGGTGGGGAACGGCTAAGTTAATAATGAAGTAAGGATTCCAAGGAATGCTCAGGGAGACTGAGGAAGAGAAATAAGGACTCTGCTACGGTTAGTGACGCATCGTCCTCTTTCCCTAATATGTTCCCTTATCTCTGAAGCAAATTGATAGCATCCTTTTAAGACTAGTTACTATCAAATAAACAAAATATAAAAAAGTTAATAGTATTGCCATGGAAAATCCACATACCAGGAAGGCCCTGCACAGGGTAGACTGCTTGTTCCCAGCAAGTTTCCTCACTGGGACTTGTAGATAGACTGTGCTCATCATCAAGCTGTAGTACAAACCAGACCACAATAGCATCCAGCACGCCTCCTTGAGTGACAGGTATGCTGATCTTGCAAGGCTTCCTAGTTGCCAGGCTTTTCAATTCCTGACCAAGATGGTAAAAAGAGAAATAAAACTTGAGTACCTCTTTCTCCAAGAGCGATGGCTGACTAACGTTGAGAATGGAATGCATGTCAGATTCCTTTTTACTGTTGGGAATGTAAGTTTAGAGCCTATTTTTAGAATTAACCCCAGAAGCAGTTAATTTTATTTCTGAATTTCATACTTTGATGTGTAACCCTGCTCCCAACTGCTAGTGTGTCAATAGTTTTTGTTTGTTTTTAAAAAGAGAATATGTTTGAATGACACTATTTGAGAACCAACAGTGGGCATGCGGGGGTGGGGAACAAGTGAGTTGCCAGTGTATGCAGAGACAACTCCATTGCCAACAGATTGCTGGTGGCAAAAAGCTGCACAGTCATGAGTATTCACTTGTTCCAAATAAATGAAAATGAATACATTTGTTTTCACCTGCTGTGTATTATATCTATACCTCTTCACACAGTAAGGCTGGAATCTGCTTTATTTGAAGATCTAGGTAATAAATTGTTTAGAGAGTTTCACATTATTTCTAGGATCTTATAAAATGTATTCTGTGAGATTAAACACATATATATAGGCACAAGTTGAGGAAAACATGTACAAGATTAAGCATTTGACAAGACACTAATTGTTTATCAGAGAAGCCAGAACTGGAAAAGACATTAGAGGTTGTTGCAGCATAGTTCCCTGTAATATATTCAAGTGCTTTGCTTTACTTCATATGTTGACCTTAGATGTCAGATAACGTGAACAGGGAAAGTTACCAATACAGAACATAGCAATTCCCAACCAATCAGTAGCCAAGAATGATTTTTATCTATATAACAATTTATTTTAAGCTTTGGCTCACCACTTTGGTGCAAACTCCTCTCCATGGGTCAACAAACCAGAAACACACATGCACCAGCATCAAAATGTATCACCCTTTCAGTCTGCATGGCCATCACTGGCATTCCAAGACAGACATTCCAACTCAGCTCTATTTTGTGCATATGTAACCCACACACCTTCTGGATGTGCTATTCTGTCCCATCTCGTGGCACCGAGACCACTTAAAGAAAGTTAAAATGAGTCTGCTCTACAGCCTTAGCTACCAGTCAGTTGGCTTTTAGCTCATGTGATAGAGGCTCATGCATTAAGCTCCAGAGGTCCCCGGTTCGATTCTGCCCGCTGATGCCGGGGTCTGTCGGCATTATACATACACACAAAATAAACCTATTTGCATTGTCAAAACATAGATGTACAAAATGGTTTCCATAGGGGAAAAAAAAAAGTCATTAGTTGTTTGAATGGTGACTTATCCCACTCTCCACTGCAAACATCTATGAGCAGCTCATTGTTAAGTGGTAATGTTTTGACTTTAAATATAAAATCTTTCCTGTGTCATCCTCAACAATTCAAATGCACTCCTATAATTTTAGTTGAAATCTGATCAGTCACAACTCATTTATATATTGCAATTCTAGTGGTAAAAATTAGCCAATAGGTCCAAGGGCATATGGACAAACATGGAACACCACATTTAATAAATTTACTTAGGGTATGTCTTTACTGCAGAGTTCCTCAGGGTCTTTCTTGGATGTTGTCCCCATCTCTACTTCTGTTCACACACAAAACCCCCTCACCCAAGTTAACTGATGCTTTCAACCCAGACTAGCTGGCCTTACTAGGGCTACAGCCAAGAGCTCAGGTGCCACTTTCACTCAAACTGGTAACCTGTCCACTTTGCAGTGAGAATGCAGCTAAATCACTTGAGCGCTGACAGTCCTCCAACAGCTTTCTTACAATTCCCTCCCAGAAGGACAGATAAGTTCTTCTATAATTCACTGGGAAAGAATCCTGCAGCACAAGGAACCATGAGATATACCCCCAGAAGTCCTAATGATGCATACGGGTGAGTGCAGCCCCAGTGAGCACACATTAACTCAGGTACGGCTTTGCAGTGTGGCTATTCACACCCAGCATAGGCTAACTTGGGTGCTCACACTCAGATAACTATCACCCACCCAAACTGCAATGAATAAATACCCTTAGAGACAAGCCAGATTTTTGGCTTTGCATCAGCTGCTCTACAGGTTGTTTGTTTGTTTTTCTTTTCGGATATAAGACAGTGAAGAAATCATTACCTCCAGATTGTTGAAATCCACTGTCATGGCTTGAAAGGGTTCTGTCAGTGGCATATAACCCCCAGGAACTCTACTGAGTTTTTCTGTGGTGTAAGGTTCAATAGTTTCCTCTGAGTTCACAGAAGCACGTGTTGGACTACAGAACTCCACCGTTTCTGCCAAATGCACACAGGCAACTTCTTGTATTCCCACCCTAGGAGGGGAGCAGGGAGGAAGAAAACCACAAACAAGCCTAAATTAGACAAATCAAAGCTATACACAATCCTTCCCCTTGAACACTGAACATATTGAGTGCGTAGTGTGATAACAGTCATTGTTGGTAGTTGTTCCTGGAATATTAAACGTACATCTCTTTCAGTAGTTAAATACAGACCTAAAAGTTAATCAGTACCAGCTCAGTCACTCAACCACACAGAAATTCTGTTCATACTTTGCACAGCTGCTTAAGTTGGTGGTCTCATTTAACTATATACACGCACGCACACACATACTTGTGTTAAGTGAATGGAAAATAAAAAATATTCCCCTTTTGTTTAAACTGATCACATTTCTTTTCCTAAATCTGTCAAATGTGAGCTCCAAATCCTGTCAAAGTATAAACACACCTGTGATGTCTGCGTATCTCTTTGCATTCCACTGCCATCCCAAATACAATAGCACCTGCAGGAATAACTTGACCATAGTCTTCAGTGCCAATGTCTTGATTTTTAGGCTGTGAAAATGTAAATAAATAAGATGGCACAATGAGATGAAGACCTATTTCTACTGGTACTGCTGAGTTTAAGTTTGTTATTTCTCTGTGTCATTCATTATTATCTCAAAAACTTTAATAAATATTCTCAAGGCTAATGATGTTTTAATTTTTTTTTTAATTGCAGTCAATTCAATTTTTTGTGCAAATGCAATGAATTAAATTATGCCCCTTTTCTTGGAAAAACAGCCAATTGTATATTATATATAATGAAGGACGAAAACTCTAGAAGCTGTTGTTATTTTCCCAATTTTTTCATTTCTCACAGCATTTCAAATGCTCCTTTGATACTGTTGCAGCCACAGCTACCTTTTTTTTGCATACACTTTCATCACAAAAAAATGATGGCATATTAAAGGGTCACTCACTAAGAGATAGTATTTTTGTTTTTTCCTAATGTATCTGCCTGAAGAATATCCCATTTTAAGTTCCAGGCTTAACTGTAAAGTAATATTTTTCCAAAACTCCTTATTTCTCAATAATGCCAATCTGTATTAAATATGAATTCTCAACTGATAGTTTCTAATAAGTCATGCTCCCCAATGTGATTTTATGAGTCTATCCCCTGCTTATCTTGCTTACTTCCCAGTAATTAATTTGATAGCTTCAATATGTGTTTTAAAAATACTTTACTTTTACCACCTATCTTTCAGCATTCGTTGTTTCTCTTGTATCAACTGCATACTTTTTCTCAAATATCTCTTTTCCATACTTATCTTGTTCTAGTCAAGTCTTTGTATTTTAGATGTAGGTTAGCTCTCTCTTTATTGTCTTTTTTCTCTCTTCACTGTCTCAACATAAACAAGCTGCTGATCAATATATATAAACTCACTGAATGACAACATAGACATGGCAGAAAGAGTGAATCGAAAGAAGGAACCTCATAAATGGTTCTTATGTTTTAGTACATCTAAAACTACCCTCTCATGGAGCTACACATAAGCTTTCAATTATTTACACACCAGTTGTGTGTGACAGCTCATTGTATTTTCTTGTGTAATTTTAAACCCTGTATTTGATCCTAACTTGAAGGAATACAAGTTAGCTAAAAACAAGCAAAATGAATAGATCAAACTATTCCTGTTTTATAACACTAGAGGTCATCAATTTCAGTCTAATACAGCAGATAAAAAACCCTTCATCTAGATGGTGATTTTAAGGTAATCTTTTTCTTTGGGAGGGAAACATAAAAGAAGAAACTAGATCCTGTAACTTTTCACAGACTGCATCCCATTATTTCATGAGACCTAAATAGAAGTTTGTCAGACACAGGTAATAGAAAGTAGAGGTGGGTTTGTGTTTTTTGTTTTTGGTGCGGGGGAGGGGAGTTACATTTACATAGTCTGAAAGGCAAGATGCATCTAGCAACTTCCAGCTTTTCAAATTAATCACCAAGGAATTATTAAATATAAAATAAGGGTGAACTGGAAGATTTAACAGATTGGTAACAGAATGCCCTCTAGTGTTAGAAGCAGATGTATACTAGTTTTTATTAATTACATATGAGGTGATTTTGGTTTCAATCACAGTGAACCCTTTCTTTCTAGGCTGCTGTTTCAAATCCAGCCTAGATCTCTACTGACTGCATGGCCTTCTGACAGCTGTTTTGTGTCTTAATATTAAATGAATAGGTTTCAGTCTGGTTTGCAGTAGACAGGTGTCCACAACACAAAAGTCATCATAATCGGCACCACTGATAGACACAGATGTCAAGGACTGAAGAGCCATAAAGACTGAACTACCCTCCCTACACTGCACCTGCCAGGTTAGTGTTGAAAAACATTGATAAGTCAGCGTCATTCACACGGCATTGTCACTGCTTGTCTACTGACATATAACAGATACGATACAGTACTTTTGCCAACAAGGCTGTAAAATTTCACTTTCACAAGCATTAATGTAACTCAAATTTAAAAATAAAGCATCAATTGTCTAAGCATTAGGAAGAGTGCAACATTCATAATAAGGATGTGTTATGTATGTATGTCTCAATGTGGTTCTGATTTATGAGTGTCTGAATATATCACCTACCTTTGGTTGTAAAAGCAAATGCTCCCAAGCATGTATCAAACTCTCCACAATCCCTTCTCCAAACAAACCTGCATCTACCGTTTCTGTGACAACCAGGGAAACCCTATGAAAAATTGTTTTTAAGAAAAGGTAGTTACAGTTATGAGATGGTAATGGGCATTACAAATTTCTGCTAGAAGTCACACCTTTTAAAGTAAAATACAAATGTAAACTGAATCTAGAGGCAGCAAATGTTGATAAAAAGCTGTGCTATTAAAGTATTAATTAATGTAAGTGAAAAGCAAAACACATCCAGCAGAGGGACATATTTTAAGTTGTTGTTATAACAAGTTTATAAACACTGAGCAACAATTTACCATGAAACTTTCCAGACAATGCTTATGAATCATTAGGTATGAGAAGAACCTAAGACAAACATAAAAATAAACAGGATCTTTCAAACAGACTTGAAATATGGCAGACCATATCCCAGAACACATGCTTACATGTAAAATAAATTAAACAGTGATTAGCACTTGAAGGAGATTTCATAAAATTTTTGCTCTATCATCAGTTTGTTATAAGCATGCAAACAGTGCAATTTTATAGTTATACTTTAAATACAACTTCTAAACAGGACATGAAAAAGATTAGTGGCCACATATTACCTTTAAATTAGTAATTTAATTTGCGACTAAAAACTAAGGCACCCATATTAATCTTGGATTAATCTTAAATCTCAATATTACCAACAGCAGCAAGGCTGAAATGATGAATACGCTTCAGTAAAATAGTGCTGAGTCTACACCAGCAACCCTTAACAGATTTCTGCTATTTAAACTTACAGCTCCCCAGAAGCATCCCAGTTGAAAACAAGTCTTAACCAGATGTGCTGAAAACTAAAATGCTTGGTCAAACTGTGGTTTGCCAACTCCAACAGCTTTCTGGGATGCTGAGTGGACTCAGTAGCCTAATCAACAAAGTTTTTTAAATACATTATAATTTGGTTAAAGCGACACTACTATTTAACCCAGAACCACCATACAAAAGGACATACTAGCAATAAAGATGAGAGGACAACTGTAGAGCAAATAAATAAATACACCTTTCAAGACAAAAACAGAAAATAAAGCTAAAACATACTGATGCTACATGAATACATTTAAGTGTGAATAAAAACAAGATGAAATTACCAACATTAGAAATTTTATAAACTGAACAAAAAGATGCTGATGCCCTTTTCTGAAAGCTACCAGAGAACCTGAACTTGCTAAGGATGAAATCATTGTGCCAGCTGCCAGCAACCAGTGTGAGGTGCTCCGCAGAGGAATGTGAGGTGGGAGAAATGTGTCAGAACTAGAATCCACTTGGAGCAGTTGTAACATGGCCCTGCAGATAATTACTTCAGCCCAGTGTCTAAAGCAGCCCTCTGTGCTGCTTAAACTTCTCCAACCTCGGGGTGGAGGATCTGCAAAAGGGCAATTCCCACCAACCTCCTAGAGGCCACCAAGTAAGAAATGTCCACCTCATGTGCAGATCCCCTTACATCTTGTCTCACTCCTGAATACAACAGATTTCCTTTGAGTAACGAAGTTAAAATCCTTTGTTTATGGCATCTAGACCTACCACAGAAATCAGCGAGATCTTCCAAACTTGACATTATAATTAATTGCAGAATTAAGTACAAGATATCCCGGAGCAAATTACACATGTAAACATATTTGGTAATTAGAAAATATGGCTAAAAAGTTATTAAACATGTGGGAAAAAAAACAATTTGTATTTAAGCATGGTAAACTTGAAAGTTTTCTTAAGTATAAAAGTCTCTCAAAATAAACAAAGATGTCAGACTTTTAGGATGCAAGTCCACCAATGATTTGTGTCCAATGGCAATCCAATGGCTAGAATCTAAAGTTAGACAAATTCCGATCAGAAATAAGGCCTAAATTTTTAAGTGAGGATAATTAACAATTGGAACAACTTACCAAGAGTTGTGGTGGATTCTCAATCACTTGCTAATTTTAAACCAAGATTGGATTTTTTTTTTTTTTTTTAAGATATTCTCTAGTTCAAAAGGAATTATATTGGAGAATTTCTATGGCCTGTGTTATACAGGAAGTCAGACTGGATGATCACAGTGGTCCCTTCTGGCTTTGGAATCCATTAATCACATTAAGATTACTCCAGCAGTGAAGTATATATATTTTGAAAAACACCAACTGAATAATCATTTTGAAGATACAAGGCTAAATTTTTAAAATGCAAATTACTCTGAAGTCTTTGGTTTAACCTGGTATGGTAATTAATCTTTTCAGTATCAGTGGGTAGCCGTGTTACTCTGTATCTACAAAAACAACAAGGAGTCTGGTGGCACCTTAAAGACTAACAGATTTATTTGGGCATAAGCTTTCGTGAAAGCTTATGCCCAAATAAATCTGTTAGTCTTTAAGGTGCCACCAAACTCCTTGTTGTTTTTATCTTTTCAGTGCACCTAAACAAAATATGTGATAGATTTTAAACTTAGTAGACAACCTTTTGAACATATGAACCTTTTGAAATCATAGATATTCATCTCATATTTATACTGGACTGGGTTCCAGCTTTTCCTTTTGCTTTATCCCCCTAAACTTATTTTTAGGATCAAGCCATTAGAAAGCAATCCAAAGAGGTGAAGAGTATCCATTAAAGTCAACAGATGTAGCACATTGCAGGATCTAGAATTAGCTTTTTTTCCTCTTGACTTAGTTAAGCTTTTGTAAAATCTCTAGGACAATAATTTCTTGGAATTGTGGACTCGAAACACCTACTGTACGTAGATGTTTATAGTGGAACTAATCTGAAAGATAATGTAAAATTATTCTCCTGGAACCTTTATGATGTAAGAACCTTACAGTCATTAAATAATGGTCTGGCATCGTTGCAAATGAATGGACCTAGAGAGCTAACCAGACTTACCAGTCCTGACAGCACACACGAAAGCTACTGCCAAAAAATTTCCAAGAACAGGAGGAGGAAGACCCCTGACTGACAACCAGACACTGACCTAGCTGACTGTATTATTGTTCTATTTTTTCCCTCTTTTTGTCTCCTTTCAGGTTTGTCTGTCCAAATGCTTTACCTGGTAGGTAAATGGTTTGAATGAATGAAGTTCACTCCAATGAACAGTGAAACATTACTTGCAATATAGTTAAATACGGCCTTCTATGACAGAGAAATATTAATCTAACAGACAAATGTTGTGGGAATTTTTAAGTATCATCTCAATAGACAATTATTTTCTGTTTTCTAGTGAGTATGTTACATTGTGCAGTTCTTCTCCACTTTCATGAACAAAACTGAAATAAGAAGATATCACAGTAGGCTATTTTAAGCTACCTTTCAGGTATGTGCTTTGGAATTTCTATATCAAGAGACTTCATATGCAGAAGTGTGATCTCTCCTTCCATGTTATTTGCTGCAACCACATCACAAGCAAGTTCATACATGGTCTTCGACAACTCACAGGCATAGACACAAGGTGCTCCAGCTTTCTTGGCAAACATACTGCAAAATAACAGAAATACCATAGGAATTAGTTTATTCGTGTCAAAATTTCAATTAGAAATTATTTTAGGTAAGAAAAGTCTGAATTTTTTTTAAAGTATATTTACATTTACTGTAGCATTTATTTCATATTCTTAAGAATACCAGTACCTGATATCAGTACTAATGCAAACTATAGCACTTGGGTGGATATCAGATTTCCCCAGTATACACTGTATTATCAGCAGTACAGTTTGTCCAAATCTACTACAAAGATAATATGTATGACATAAAGGCAGTAATTCATACACTATAAGACCAGAGCGACCACTGTGATCATCTAGTCTGACCTCATGTATAAGGGCCACAGGACTTCCCTGAACTAATTCCTGTTTGAACTAGAGCATATCTTTTAGGAAAAACATCCAGTCTTGATTTAAAAATTGCCAGTGATGGAGAATCCACCACTGTCCTTGATAAGATGTTTCATTGGTTATTTATGCTCACTGTTAAAAATTTGCAACTTATTTCCGGTTTGAATTTGTCTAGCTTCAGCTTCCAGCCATTGGATCTTGCTATACCTTTATGTGTTACATAGAAGAGCCCATTATCAACTTTTTCTTCCTCACATAGGTACTTATGTACTGTGACCAAATCACTCCTTAACCATCTCTCTCTCTGTTAGACTTCAGGAGCCCAATCTGTTTAGTTTATAACTACAAGGTATGTTTTCCAATTCAACATTGTGACTGAATGAACATGTATTAAATCAGCATGTGGATACCAGACATACCATTAGTGACACAGTTCTAGGTACTCACTTCACAATAACAACTCTAGTTGTGTCTTTCCTTCCTTAAGCTTTGTTTTAATAATATATGAAAATTAATTTTCAGTTTTTTCAAAGGATAATTTAAATGTACATGACAATGACTGCTAAAAAGCAAGTATATTTATATTAATATAGTTTACGTTAAACATGCATTTATGACAAACCTCAGTATTCCCGTTCCTGCTCCAATATCTAGAACAGCTCTGCAACCAGAGCGGACCACCTTCTCAATCGCTTTCTGGTAAATCAGATTCCTGTTGGTGTCATTAAGCATGATAAAGTGCCAACGTTCTACCAGCCAGTTTGCAACACGGTAAAAATTCTCCTTTGCATCAGCAAAGTCAGGGTTTAGCTTCAGTGCTTTGTGGAAATATCCAGCTGCTTCATCTCTAAAGCCCATTCTAATAGTAAAAATGACAAAAAAATAATAAGCAGGAAGTATACAGTTGGCTGCCAGATATCTGAAACTTGAAGATGTTAGGGGAAAAAAACACCACATTTTTAGACATTCATTACTGAATTGTTAAGTACTGTTGTTTTTAATAACTGTTATAGTCACAATTTGAAAGCTACTTTATTTTCCTTTAAGGGCTATGTCGTCACATGAGAGAGAGAGGGGGTACACCTTGGGCAAACGATCAAAAAAAAAGTGAGCTCTAACTAATTTAAGAGTGTTGAAAATAAGAATTTTTCATTTACAAGACTGTTTCAGAGAAAGATCCCTTTCCTCTAAATATACTACTTTATAAAACAATGTTTTCACTAGAAAACCAAGCAATGTACTTGGCTAAAATTGAGTTATGAAGCACTACTGCACAAAGTCCCTATGTTTTCACATTTTAAGGATATAAACTTAAGTTCTTTAACCAGTGCTATGGTGGGTCTGTGTCAAAAAGGATGAAGTTATCTTATAAAGTAAGATTTATAGTACCACCCTCAGTGATTTAAAATGCAAAAATACATAAAATATATCATTTATTGTATTCTGCTTCTACCTCTCCATTTCATCCATGACTTTGCCGCAGTAAAACAATTGGCATCTTATAAAGATTATTTGCACAATAAAAACAGCAACAGTGAATCAGAAATGCAAGCCAGAATGGAGCCACGTCAAATCTCCAAAAACCAAAGCAAAGTAAGATTTTACCCAATCCAGGTGTAATGTATGACATCACAGCTCATATCAAATTGTCACAGCTTGAGTTACCATGTTTCCATTAGATCACAATTTTAAGAAGATTATAATTACCATAAAATATTGCTCTGGGCTGAAACTCTCAATCCAGGAACAATTAAAAATTGAACATTTTTTAAATTTAAGAAAAACATGCAAGGAAAATATAGTCAGAAGGGTTTTTTTTGCTCTTTATTTTAAAAAAAGAGAATCAGAGCAGACCACTCTAATACAAGTGATCTGGATTTCCAGTTAGGAATTACGGTTTCAAGGCCAAGTCCTATTTGAACACACCACGCTGGCAGGAACTTGAAGCACTGTGGGGGCAGCATGTGCAGCACCTTTTAGGACCTGCGCAGGGAAGGGAAATGCCTTAGATTGTTAAACAAAGACTAAGGCTCAAACCAATCAAGAAGAGGGGACTTACAGGGTATTCATATTCTGAACCAGCCCTCCTTTATCTGAACTGGCTGTAATGTGGGATCTTTAGGAGGAATAGAACAGAGTTAGAGGTAGAGGATCTTCATAACACCTACAGAAACGTGGAACATAACCACTTACAAAAATTAAGTTACCCAAAACTATAATCTTCACAGTGGCTTTCAACCATTCTGGTCTAATTTTTCATTAAATAACTATTGCGTGAGTTGGTAAATGACATTTGAAAGGCAGTATATTTTTCTTATTATTTTTAAAGACCAAATGCATTTCTTAGGATTGAATAGTATGTTTAAGCAGTGGCTACTGTACATATATTTATACTGATTTAACAGTTTTGAAATTCAGTATTACATACTTAACATTGTGCCCATGCTCAAAGATACCCCTATTCAGCAAAGCTGAATCAGATCCTTATATGTTTATTACTAATTAATAAAAAATAATGCATCTAAAAAAAATTGAATATAGATTACTACCAACCTGAAGAGATGTTCCCCCATACTATTACATATTATTTCATCATTAGGAAACAGTTCCAGGGCCTGCTCATAGCAGTTAAATAAATCTTGAATCCGTGCAAGAGAAGCTAGCTCTTCAGCCCATTTGAAGAGGGTAAACTGGAAAGTTTCCTGAAAAGTGACGCAAACATTGCTAAATTAGTAATAGCTTATCAAAAGCAGGGAATTGAAGACACTGGAAACTCAGAGGAGGTAGTATGAAATTAGTCTTGAAATGAACATGAGCACAGTTATTTCCTTAACAGCACATAATGCTGGAAGTGCTAGCTTCTCCAGTGAGGTAGTCTCTTCCTAGTACTCCAGCTACCCTTACCTCTAATCAGCACACAGCTTAACATGTTACAGAGCTGTATGTAGAAAGTTTGCACAGTGCAAGCCAGTTCTAATAACGCCTCATTTTTACAAAACCCTAAATTCACTCAGCTTTTAAGATTAAATGAGTCAAACCCTATCCCTCAAGCACATACAGCTCTGGTTAACCAAATTACAGAGTCATCCATAACACTGCTCTGTTTCTCTTTAATTCTCCTTTCCATTCTTCAAAATAAGTTACATACAAAATAAAAGCAACATGTGTTCATTAGAAAGTTAATAGGGAAAAAAATATAATTGAGATTGAACTCTCTAAAATAATTCAAAAAGCACTCACCCTGACATCATTTTTTAGCTCAGGAGCTAGATTTAGTACCAGGAGATAGTGGGCATATGCAGTTCCAAAATCCTGATCTTCCAGACAATGCTGAGCACTCTGTAAAGATCTGGAAACCAGCTCACGTCTGCCAGCTTCCTGACCACCTCGGTGGCCACGATGAGATTTGGCATTAGAGTTGGGCATTTTGAAGAAAATTAACTGTGCATTTCCATAAACAAAAATAAAACATGTATGTATAAATATCTTCTGTCTGTGTGTTCCACTCTATGCATCTGAAGAAGTGAGCTGTAGCCCACGAAAGCTTATGCTGAAATAAATTTGTTAGTCTCTAAGGTGCCACAAGTACTCCTGTTCTTAAAACAAAAAAAAGATTCTTATCCTAGAGTAATTGTAAGTTGCAAATAAAAGTAACAGGTCAAAATATTTTAAAATTCTAGCATGCAGTGAAGAAGGCCCCCCTGATCCTACAAAGAGTTGAAGATGTGCTTAACTTTACACATTCTGAGTATTTCCACTGTTAAACATGTGTACAAGTCTTTACAAGGCCTAAAACTGCACTACTTTTTCTGCTAAACTTTTGAAACCCTTTTAGCAGGTCTCTGGGGGATCAACTTGTTTTTATAAACTTATATATACACACACAGAATTTCATGCTTAGCTACCCACAAAATTTACAATTAAACTTTTTCAGTAATACAACTGGCGTAATATATACCCAGAGAAAATAGTCTCCATAAAGGGGATACTGAGGCCAATCTACTTTGTACTTAACATCTAAGAGCAACAAATTATGACAACTTTTTCCATAACAATAAAATGTCAGGAATTTGTATATAATCTTATGCCACATTTTGTGAAATAGTGCCCAATTTAATTTTAAATGCTTACTTCCATATATAGGTCCTGGATCTGCCTTCAGGATTTTCAGACTATATCCCAGGACTGAAAGATAATACAGAAAGCAAGTTTCCAATATAGTTACACCAGCAGAGATGTTTTCAAGATATATTACACCACAAGGAAATAACAGTAATCCATATGAAAGTTCATCAACTATTCTGCAGTTATGTAATTCCATCTACCTATGTTACATGAGTATGACACAGACATGACATAGTTATTTGAAGAGATAGATTAACTAAAGAGAAAACAGAACAGTAAGAGAGAAGTTCAGATGATGGATATACTTTAAAATACTAATATAAACATCTGATGATCAGCTCTTTGGTGGGAAAGTATTGTTCCTATGGGAGGAAATGAGTGCCAGACACAGGAAAAGCTGCAACAGAGACATGTTGACATCCATGCACTTTTTGCAGAAGCACTTTCACATGTATCAGGCTGGTGGGATTTCCCTCCTGCCAAACCCTGCGGGAAAACAATTTTCCTTAGTACCTGTTTGTTCTATTTTATGTCTGCTTGACACTTATGCTGCAGGGATCATCCAGCTACTTGTACTGCCTACATTAAATGGGCACAGTGGCCATTTCCTTTTATTTTTGTATTTATTCTTTAAAAATGCCCTGGGTGCAGGGGCATACGAGACAGAGACAGACAGAGATGTACCCTCTCTGTGACAGAATGAGCATATGAGGGGGGTCGAATGTACCCCTCTGTGAAGGAATGAGCGTATACGGGGGAGCAGACGCACTGTGTATATGGGGGGCAGACGCAGACCGATCTGAGGAACTGGTGCCTGCGAGGGGGGAGACGAGCTCCTGTCTGGGAAGCAGCAGCCTGGGGCGGCACTGCTGAGAGCGATCCAGGAGACGGGGCAAGGTGTCGCACACGGCGGTGGGCGGACGGTGGGGAGCGGGAGACGAGGGCTGGTCACCTCAGCGATTCTTCCGGCGGGCCTGGCTGCTTCCGGCTCGGCCCACAGCACAGATCCGGAGCCGACGACAGACGCACCAGCCGCGGGCCGCCATTTTTGCGCCGGGCGGAGACCCTGCCTCGCAGTTACAACCACGGCGTTGGACGCCGGGTCCCCCAGGAGCCCGCACGCAGCGCCGGGCCGTGCGCGTCTCAGCACATCGGTCGCCCACGCGCAGACGTGAACCCCAGAAGCTGCTCCGCGCGCAGCCGCTAACCCGGCCGGCGTGACGTCACCGCCCAACACGACGGGCAGCCTGGAGATTACTGAACATGCTCGGGAGAACTGAGCATGCTCAGTAACATCTAGTGACTCCCCCGCCGGGGTGCGCTCTGCCGTCACGGGGGTGAAGGGGGCAGTCTAAGGGGGGGGGGGCAGAGGTGATCACTGCGCACGGGGCCAGACAGCCGGAGGCAGGGACAGGAGAGGGGCTGAGGAGCAAAATCTGGGCTCACCGGCGGCGAGGACCTGCTAAGCCCAGGCTACAATTGATTTCAGCCCCGAGGACAATAAATTAACCAATAGGCGTGAGAGTGAGATGATAGGTTGCAAATGAGGGATCCCAATGGGGGACACCAAGCAGCGAGTCCCCAATAGCACCCAGTGCTCCTCAAAGGCATCTAGGGAGTCAGTGGACCCTCTCAGAGGGTCTGTGCTCAGAGGCATGATTGGATAAACCCCAGTCCGGCTTCCTCCTCCTGGTACGATGGATAGCCCTCAGGAGGATATTGATGAGGAGGTCCCGCAGGGGTTGGGGGGGGGGGGGGGTTGCTAGGATGAGGAGGTACAGGAAAAGCGCAGCCAGAAGAGGGGTGGGTAAACTTTTTGGCCCAAGGGCCATATCTGGGTATGGAAATTGTATGGAATTGTATTTGTTTTTAAACTCAATGCTAACACAAACATTTCAATTATTTTTCCTTGTTAAATGAAAATATTTTGTTTTAATTTAAAAACTCCATGGTGTATGCAACCCAAATATTTCAATATTTCCGGTGTATGATAATCAAAGCAATTATAAACAAATAGGGAAAACAACTATTCTAATTTACTTGCTGCAGCAGAGTGAATGGCAATAAAAAAATGGTGAAAGTAAATTTGATTATGAAATTTTAGTTTCAATCTAAACAGCATTATGGATTTCTTTAATATAGGATTTTTTTTACTAATAGTGTCCCTTTCAGTGTAATATGATTCTATCTGTCCAGAAACAGAGCTACTTCTCAATTGAAAATAAAATAATCTGAAAAATAAACAGCAGATAACAAGATCCGGCAAATTGGACACTGCATCGAGAGTGAGGATATTTGGGTTCTAGTTCCAACTCTGCTCCCTGACTTGCTCTGTGATTTCAGCTGAATGAATCACTTAGATCCATTTTTTCAAAGTTTGCTACAGATTCCGAGAGCTGCAACTTTTGGGTACCCAACTTGAGACAGATTGGCCTGATTTTTCAAAGGTGGTGAGCACTCACAGCTCCAATTGACTTCTGTTAGCTTGGGACTGACTTTCGGAAGAGACACACTTCTCATTTTGGGTACCAAAAAAACTAAGGCATGTAAAACATAGAGGCTACTTTTGAAAATTTGGTCTTTAACTACTATAGGCCAGATTTTCAAGAGTTCAGCACCTATATTAGGCACTGTCACAGGGTCCACTCACCACTAGGGTGCCACCTCCTAGCCACATTTGGTGATTATCACCACTCTAGTCCAATGCCCCTTTCTGCTACTTGCTGCACACTCTGCTGCCACTCTCTCTCTCACTCTCTGCAACTCAGGGTGCTAGGTCTTCATGGCCTGGCACTCCCGCCAGCTCACAATGTTTTCCCCTTCCAGGGTACCAAAGTCTCACCGGACAACCATCATAGGCAGTCTGTGCTTCACTGCCTGGTCTGTACCACTTCCCCAGTGGCTGGTAGGAGAACCTAGGCCCTTCCACTACTCCAGGTTTCAGTCCAGGGACCCTATACCTGGAAACTGTGGTCTGCTTTCCCTCAGAGCTTGTTGCTCTTTCCCTGGACTCCTTCCTACAGCTTCTGGCTCCTCCCTCTCTAGGTGTACCAACTCAAACCCCCTCCTCTTAGGGAGTAACTATTAAACTCCAGAGCCTCAAATACCACCCTACTCCCAGGTAGTGAACATAGCCTACTTTCTCTGCAGTCCCTTTCTGTTGTCAACTTACTGGCTTTATACAACTCCTACTGTTCTTCCCCAGCAGAGCTCCATCTTCAATCAGTCCCAGTGCAGCCTATCAGGTTAATTATCCTAATTTACTGGCTCTGCCTTGTGTGGGGTGAACACCTGATCACAAAATCAACCAAAATAAGTGGGAAGATTTTCAACAGAGCTCAGCATGCTGGGGGTGCTGAGTTCTTTTGAAAATCTAATCATAAGTATCACAGTGGGAGTTGTTGAATGCTGATACGTTTGAAAATCTGGCCTTTATTTAGGCGTCTAAAGGGGGAAAGGGATCTTTGAAAATCTGGTCCTGAGCTCTCTTGAAATTTGGTCGTCTCTGTCTCTATTTCCCCATAAGAAAAATGGAGATATAAAGTCCATTGAAATCTTTGGATGAAAACCCACTATATAGAAGCTAAGCATTAGTTACTGTTATTATTTAATATTATAGGAATTGTATAACATGTATTGAATTTCATGCAACAGAACAGTTTTTGAGAAAACAGACTTACTGAAGACCTTTTAACTAACTCACATTTACAGAGCTCTATTGTATCAAAGCTCATAAAGTCATATTTTGTTATATACCATTCTGACACTATATTACATTTTAACTATGTCACGCATCAACTATTCTATTGTGTCATATGTGATATATCAGAAAGATATTATCAGGACTGTCCTTACCCATACGCAAAGTATGCAGCTGCGAAGGGCACCAGAAATTTGGGGCACCAAATTTCCTGGTGCCTTGCGCAGCTGCGTGCTACTCCAGCCCCTGCTCCAGCTCTTACCCAGGGCCCCCCCCCCCCCCCCTCCCCTGCCCCAGCCCCCCCCCCACTCCCCTGAGGACTCCAGAAGCGGTCGGGCCTGCACTCACCGGTAAGTAGAGCGACCCTGCCCCAGCCTGCTCCGCTCCTCTGGCTCCCAGCTGTGTTGCCGGTGAGTGCTGGGGCGTGGTTCCCCCCTCTCCCCAAGCCTGGGAGCCAGGGGAGCAGAGCAAGCTGGGGCCGGGTCACTCCACTTCCCGCAGGAAGTGGCCAGCCCCCCCCGCCCCCCGGAGGCCTGCGGCCAGCCCCCCCGCCCCACCTGCAGAGGCCTGGGGCAGGGCCCCACACAGCCCCCCCCTGCAGAGGCCTGGGGCCAGCCCCCCTTCCCTCCCGTGGATGCTTGGGGGCCCCCCCCAATCCCCCCCCGCGCAGAGTGTGGGGAGAGCTGCGTAGGGCACCAAAATAGCTAGGGACGGCCCTGGATATTATTGCCTCTTTTTGACCCAAGTGGCTAGTCAAAGTTCCGGGCTCAGTGGGTGGTCCAGTTGGGAACAGAAATTGGTGGTAGCCAGGTATTTCTTTTATGCAATCTTGTTTATTTACAAGGAATGTACAAAGTCCTGTGTCTCTGACCACAGAAGGATCCAAGGAAAAAAGGAGCAGTTTCTCAGTTTACCATCCCCACAAGTCCCTGTAGCCAACACCAGACTCAAAAACTCTCTCTCTAGCTTTCTCCAGGGTCACACCATGCTTAAAGGCCCCTGCTTGGCTTTTCCATGCCTCTCTTCTTCTGCCTTCTTATCTGTGATCTTTTTGTGTGTTCTGTCCCACGCCCACACACACCTACCCAAAACAATCTAACCCAACCCAGACCGCCCAAAAGTTCCTGGGTGGGTTAAAACACACATTTTGTTTTAGGTGGGGCTTAATCCAAATCATAACAAAGTTTCACCCAGCTCATAACAATATTGTAAAAACTGCATGTTTCATTTTAACATTTCCAGTAGGTGTCTCCAGTGTATTGTGTAGAAGCTTTAAAAACAACAACAATATATAACCACACTACAAAATAAGAAATGGCATAATTAAATTTGTTTACAAAATTGCATATGAAAAATATTCAATGCATGAAGTCCAATCCACCTTGGAAAGTGGAAACAGATGAGTAGAAGTTTGGCTATTAGGTTACAGAATTAATATTTCCTAGTTCATGTATAGCCCGTATAGCTACTATGGTGGGATTTTCAAAATCACTCAGCACTGAGTTAGGCCAATGCTTAGTGTTCCATAATGAGGTTCATGAGATATTGTACAAATGAAGAACACACTATCTTTTCATACATGGTCCCATGATGTACAGTATCCTATTGTCAGAGGGGTAGCCGTGTTAGTCTGAATCTGTAAAAAGCAACAGAGGGTCCTGTGGCACCTTTAAGACTAACAGAAGTATTGGGAGCATAAGCTTTCGTGGGTAAGAACCTCACTTCTTCAGATGCAAGTAATGGAAATCTCCAGAGGCAGGTATAAATCAGTGTGGAGATAACGAGGTTAGTTCA